AGCTGGGCTTGAAAAAGCATGGAAGTTATTAGAGAAACCCTTTCTGGAGAAATAAAAGAATTAAAAACTAACCAAGTCAAAATCAAAAAGGCTATTCATGAGGTGCAATCAAAAATGGGGGCACTAACTACTAGGATAAATGAGGCAGAAGAGAGAATCAGTGATATAGAAGACCAAAGGATGGAAAATAAAGAGACTGAGAAAAAGAGAAACTACAGGATCACGAGGGCAGAATTCGAGAGATAAGCGATATGATAAGAGGAAACAGAATAATTAGGATCCCAGAAGAAGAAGAAAGAGAGAGAGGGGCAGAAGGTATATTGGAGCAAATAATAGCAGAGAACTTCCCTAATGTGGGGAAGGAAACAGGCATCAAAATCCAGGAGGCACAGAGAACCCCTCTCAAAAGGAATAAAAATAGGTCAACATCCCGACATCTAATAGTAAAACTTACGAGTCTCGGAGACAAAGAGAAAATCCTGAAAGCAACTCAGGAGAAGAGATATATAACCTATAATGGTGGAAACATTAGATTGGCAACAGACCTATCCACAGAAATCTGGCAGGCCTGAAAGGACTGGCGTGATATCTTCAGAGCACGAAACGAGAAAAATATGCAGCCAAGAATACTATATCCAGCTAGGCTGTCAATGAAAATAGAAAGAGAGATAAAAAGCTTCCAGGACAAACAAAAACTAAAGGAATTTGCAAACACGAAACCAGCCCTCCAAGGAATATTGAAAGGGGTCCTCTAAACAAAGAGAGAGCCTAAAAACACCATAGACCAGAAAGGAACAGAGACAATATACAGTAACAGTCACCTTACAGGCAATACAATGGCACTAAATTCATACCTTTCAATAGTTACCCTGCATGTAAATGGGCTAAATGCCCCAATCAAAAGACACAGGCTATCAGATAGGATAAAAAAACAAGACCCATCCATATGCTGTCTGCAAGAGACTCATTTTAGACCCAAAGAAAACCCCACATTGAAAGCGAGGGGGTGGAAAACCATTTACCATGCTAATGGACACCAAAAGATAGCAGGGGTGGCAATCCTTATATCAGACAAATTAGATTTTAAAACAAAGACTGTAATAAGAGATGAGGAGGGACACTTTATCCTACATAAAGGATCTATCCAAGAAGAAGATCTAACAATTGTAAATATCTATGCCCCTAACATAGGGGCAGCCAATTATATAAGGCAATTAATAACAAAAGCAAAAAGAAAACACATTTACAACAATACAGTAATACTGGGGGACTTTAACACCCCCCCCGACTGAAATGGATAGATCATCTAAGCAAAAGATCAACAAGGAAATAAAGACTTTAAATGACACACTGGACCAAATGGACTTCACAGATATATTCAGAACATTCCATCCAAAGCAACAGAGTACACATTCTTCTCTAGTGCCCATGGAACATGCTCCAGAATTGATCACATCCTAGGTCACAAATCAGGTCTCAGGTACCAAAAGATTGGGATTATTCCCTGCATATTTTCAGACCACAGTGCTTTGAAACTAGAACTCAATCACAAGAGGAAAGTCGGAAAGAACTCAAATAATGGAGGCTAAAGAGCATCCTACTAAAAAATGAATGGGTCAACCAGGAAATTAAAGAAGAACTTTAAAAATTCATGGAAACCAAAAAAATGAAAACACAACTGTTCAAAATCTTTGGGACACAACAAAGGCAGTCCTAAGAGGAAAGTATATAGCAATACAAGACTTTCTCAAGAAACAAGAAAGGTCTCAAATACACAACCTAACCCTACACCTAAAGGAGCTAGAGAAAAAACAGCCCATAAAGCCTAAAACCAGCAGGAAAAGAGAAATAATAAAGAGCAGAGCAGAAATCAACGAATAGAAACCAAAAGAACAGTAAAACAGATAACGAAACTAGGAGCTGGTTCTTTGAAAGAATTAAGAAGATCGATAAACTCCTGGCCAGACTTATCAAAAAGAAAAGAGAAAGGACCCAAATCAACAAAATCATGAATGAAAGAGGAGAGATCACAACCAACACCAAAGAAATACAAACAATTATAAGAACATATTATGAGCAACTCTATGCCAGCAAATTAGATAACCTGGAAGAAATAGGTGCATTCCTAGAGATGTATCAACTACCAAAATTGAACCAGGAAGAAATAGAAAACCTGAACAGACCTATAACCACTAAGGAAATTGAAGCAGTCATCCAAAATCTCCCAACAAACAAAAGCCCAGGACCAGATGGTTTCCCAGGGGAATTCTACCAAACATTTAAAGAAGAATTAATACCTATTCTCCTGAAACTGTTCCAAAAAATAGAAATGGAAGGAAACTTCCAAACTCATTTGATGAGGCCACCATTACCTTGATCCCAAAACCAGACAAAGACCCCATCAAAAAGGAGAACTACAGACCAATATCCTTGATGAACATGGATGCAAACATTCTCACCAAAATACTAGCCAATAAGATCCAACAGTACATTAAAAGGATTATTCACCACGACCAAGTGGGATTTATCCCCAGGCTGCAAGGTCGGTTCAACATCCGCAAATCGATCAACGTGATACAATATATTAACAAAAGAAAGAACAAGAATCATATAATCCTCTCAATAGATGAAGAAAAAGCATTTGACAACGTACAGCATCCTTTCTTGATCAAAACTCTTCAGAGTATAGTGATAGAGGGTACATACCTCAATATCATAAAAGCCATCTATGAAAAGCCTACAGCGAATATCATTCTCAATGGGGAAAACCTGAGAACTTTCCCCCTAAGGTCAGGAACGTGGCAGGGATGTCCACTATCACCACTGCTATTCAACATAGTAATAGAAGTCCTAGCCACAGCAATCAGACAACAAAAAGAAATCAAAGGCATCCAAATCGGCAAAGAGGAACTCAAACTCTCACTCTTTGTGGATGATATCATACTTTATGTGGACATTCTTTCCTGCTTCATCAAAGATTAGTTGACCATACAGTTGAGGGTCTCAGAGAAAAATAATACATTATATGTTAAGAAAAAGAAGATAGTAGGAAGGGAAAAATGAAGGGGGGCAAATCAAAGGGGGAGATGAACCATGAGAGATTATGGACTCTGAGAAACAAACTGAAGGTTCTAGAGGGGAGGGGGTGGGGGGATGGGTTAGCCTGGTGATGGGTATTAAAGAGGGCCCATATTGAATGGAGCACTGGGTGTTATATGCAAACAATGACTCATGGAACACCACATCAAAAACTAATTATGTAATGTATGGTGATTAACATAACATAATAAAATGTTTAAAAATGTTCCCAAATAATTGCTTTTAAAATATCAAAAAAAGGGTGCCTGGGTGGCTCAGTTGGTTAAGTGACTGCCTTCAGCTCAGGTCATGATCCTGGAGTCCCGGGATTGAGTCCCACATTGGACTCCCTGCTCGGCAGGGAGTCTGCTTCTCCCTCTGGCCCTCTTCCCTCTCGTGCTCTCTCTCTCTCTATCTCATTCTCTCTCTCAAATAAATAAATAAAATCTTTAAAAAAATAAAATAAAATAATAAAATATCAAAAAAAAAACCCACATTGAGATACCACCTTACACCAGTTAGAATGGCAAAAATGGACAGGGCAAGAAACAACAAATGTTGGAGAGGTTGTGGAGAAAGGGGAACCCTCTTACACTGTTGGTGGGAATGCAAGTTGGTACAGCCACTTTGGAAAAGTGTGGAGGTTCCTCAAAAACTTAAAAATAGAGCTATCTTATGACCCAGCAATTGCACTCCTGGGTATTTACCCCCAAAATACAGATGTAGTATAAAGAAGGGCCATATGCACCCCAATGTTCATAGCAGCATTGTCCACAATAGCCAAACTGTGGAAAGAGCCGAGATGCCCTTCAACAGATGAATGGATAAAGAAGATGTGGTCCATATATACAATGGAATATTACTCAGCCATCAGAAAGGATGAATACCCAAGTTTTATACCAACATGGATGGGACTGGAGGAGATGATGCTAAGTGAAATAAGTCGAGCAGAGAAAGTCAGTTATCATATGGTTTCACTTATTTGTGGAACACAAGGAACAGCATGGAGGACATTAGGAGAAGGAAGGGAAAAATGAAGAGAGGGAAATCAGAGGGAGAGATGAACCATGAGAGACTGTGGACTCTGAGAAACAAACAGGGTTTTAGAAGGGAGGGGGTGGGGGGATGGGTTAGCCCGGTGATGGGTATTAAGGAGGGCACGTACTGCATGGAGCACTGGGTTTTATACGAAAACATTGGATCGTGGATCACCACATCAAAAACATAATGAGGTATTGTATGGTGACTAACACAACATTATAAAATTTTAAAAATTTTCTTGAAAGAAAGAAAAAAAGAAAAAGAAAGAAAGAAAGAAAAGAAAGAAAGAAAGAAAGAAAGAAAGAAAGAAAGAAAGAAAGAAAGAAAGAAAGAAAGAAGAAAGAAAAAATAAACTAACATTTTTAAAAATGGGGCAAACGACTATACATACTTCATAGTATTAATGTGAGGTTTGAGTTATCACATATTAAAATGGGTAGAAAATGTATGGCATAAAGTACCTTGTAAACTATGAGGCAACCTCTACTTTTCCAAATAAAAATATTGGAACATCTTAAAGGATTTGGAAAAAGAAGTAGATTAGATTTTTTTAATGATGTCCTAAGCAATTCTTTTTGCTACAGTTTTGCTATTCAAAGGACAGAGATCTAAAGACACACTGCTTAAATATTTTTTTCTCGGATTTTATTTTTTTATTATTATTATGTGATGTTAATCACCATACATTACATCATTAATTTTTGATATAGTGTTCCACGATTCATTGTTTGTGTATGCTGCTTAATTATTATACTTTTCCACCAGAAAGATGTCCTAAGGATTATTGCTTCATGTATCTTCCCCGTATTATGTGAGGCATAATAAAAAATGCTACTCTGCTTCTAGTGCTAGCCATGATCATGTAGGGAATTTGCATTTACCGAGCGGGTGTTCCATAAAGGTGAGGCCTGGATCCCGCAGAAATGGCCACAATTATAGCTGGGACTCCATAGCCCACAGGGAACATAAGCTTCTTCATGAACCTGCTCACACTGGAGTAGTTGACCACCATCAGGTTGCGTGCAGTGAGAAAGAGGTGCAGACCCTCCAGCAGCATCCAGGTGAAGGACGCCAGGTAGAGATAGTGTAGGGCACCCGCAATGATGGCGCACAGCACCTGGGGGAGGAGAAAGGTGTCACCAGGAGGGATTGTCAGGGAGCAAGGTGGCCCCAGGACTCTTCCCATACCTTACCAAAGGGGAGAACTCTCAACTTAAAGGAGTTGTCGAAAGAAGTTTTTTTGAGAGGAGGAAAGATGGCAGAGGAGTAGGGGACCCCATTTCAACTGGTCCCAGAATTGAGCTGGATATCTACCAGACCACTCTGAGCACCAAGGAAACCAGCCTGAGATGTAAGACGATCTGGATCTCTACAAACAGAATATCGCAGGCGGTTGGTTTCGAGTTATGAAGCAGGGAGCCGTGATTCCGCAGGCAGATATCGGAGGATAAACGGCAGCGGGATGGTGCCTGGCCATGGGGATCTTACACCGCCGGTGAGGGACAGCCTCACTGCTGGGGACAGGGCACAGACAAGCAGACCGGCAGCAGCGGGGAAAGGACTTTAGGGCAGCCCCCGGGGCAGAAACCTGGAGTGGCGGGGTCGCACGTGCGATCTGGGGGTGGCTGGTGGTTTTAGAAGCACAAAGGGCAGAGATGTGCTCCAACCTGGAGGCAGGACTGGGGGCACTGCGGAGGGGCACACAACCCAGGACACTGCACTTTATAGCAGCACAGACAGAAACGGAGACAGTGTGGCCTGGAGAGCTTACTGCAGAACAGACTGCGATCTCTCTGTTCTAAGGCAGAGGGTTGGAAACTGTCTCTTCTGCTCTGACTCGTGGAAGAGACGTGGAAAGCCACTCAGGGAACACCGCCAGAGAACAAAAGCCCCAAAACTGATTCCCACTGAGCCCATCCCCCACCACAGGGGGGCACAGCAACTCTGCCCAAACAGGGTTGCCTGAGTAACAGCACAGCAGGCCCCTTCCCTGGAAGACAGGCTGGGAAAACAAGAGGCCAGCAACCCTAAGGTCCCTAGAAAAAAGGTGCATCTTGCTTGGGTTCCGGTCAATAATTTGGACTCTATACATTCCCTCAAACACCCATCAACAGAATGACTAGGAGGAGGAACCCCCAAAATAGAAGAGACTGAGAGATTATGACTTATGCCGCAGATTTACAAATGGATGCAGATATAACCAAGATGTCGGAGATGGAATTCGGCTAGCAATTGTGAAGACAATAGCTGGAATGGAGAAATCAATTAATGGCAACATAGAATCTCTAAGGGCAGAAATGAAAGCTGAATTGGCAGAACTTAAAAATGCTATCAATGATAAAATACTCATGAAAGAAATTGAAGAAGACACAAAGAAATGGAAAAACGTTCCATGCTCATGGATTGGGAGAATCAATATTGTGAAGATGTCAATGCTACCTAGAGCAATCTACACATTCAATGCAATCCCCATCAAAATACCATCCACTTTTTTCAAAGAAATGGAACAAATAATCTTAAAATTTGTATGGAACCAGAAGAGACCCCGAATAGCCAGAGGAATACTGAAAAAGAAAAGCAAAGCTGGCGGCATCACAATTCCGGACTTCCAGCTCTATTACAAAGCTGTCATCATCAAGACAGTTTGGTACTGGCACAAAAACAGACACATAGATCAATGGAACAGAATCGAGAGCCCAGAAATGGACCCTCAACTCTATGGTCAACTTATTTTTGACAAAGCAGGAAAGTGTCCAATGGCAAAAAGACAGTCTCTTCAACAAATGGTGTTGGGAAAATTGGACAGCCACATGCAGAAGAATGAAACTGGACCATTTCCTTACACCACACACAAAAATAGACTCCAAATGGTTGAAAGACCTAAACGTGAGACAGGATTCCATCAAAATCCTAAAGGAGAACACAGGTAGCAACCTTTTCGACCTTAGCCGCAGCAACTTCTTCCTAGAAACATCGCCAAAGGCACGGGAAGCCCAGGCAAAAATGAACTATTGGGATTTCATCAAGATAAAAAGCTTTTGCACAGCAAAAGAAACAGTCCACAAAACCAAAAGACAACCGACAGAATGGGAGAAAATATTTCCAAATGACATATCAGATAAAGGGCTAGTATCCAAAATCTATAAAGAACTTATCAAACTCAACACCCAAAGAACAAATAATCCAATCAAGAAATGGGCAGAAGACATGAACAGACATTTCTCCAAAGAAGACATCCAAATGGCCAACAGGCACATGAAAAAGTGCTCAACATCGCTCGGCATCAGGGAAATCCAAATCAAAACCTCAATGAGATACCACCTCACACCCGTCAAAATGGCTAAAATTAACAAGTCAGGGAACAACAGATGTTGGCGGGGATGTGGAGAAAGGGGAACCCTCCTACACTGTTGGTGGGAATGCAAGCTGGTGCAACCACTCTGGAAAACAGTATGGAGGTTCCTCAAACAGTTGAAATTAGAGCTACCGTTCGATCCAGCAATTGCACTACTGGGTATTTACCCCAAAGATACAAATGTAGGGACCCGAAGGGGTACGTGTACCCCAATGTTTAGAGCAGCAATGTCCACAATAGCCAAACTGTGGAAAGAGCCAAGATGTCCTTCGACAGATGAATGGATAAAGAAGAAGTGGTATATATACACAATGGAATATTATGCAGCCATCAAAAGGAATGAGATCTTGCCATTTGCAACGACGTGGATGGAACTGGAGGGTGTTATGCTGAGTGAAATAAGTCAATCAGAGAAAGACATGTATCACATGACCTCACTGATATGAGGAATTCTTAATCTCAGGAAACAAACTGAGTGTTACTGGAGTGGTGGGGGGTGGGAGGGATGGGGTGGCTGGGTGATAGACATTGGGGAGGGAATGTGCTACGGTGAGCGCTGTGAATTGTGCAAGACTGTTGAATCACAGATCTGTACTTCTGAAACAAATAACGCAACATATTTTAAGAAAAAAGAAAAAGAAGAAGATAACAGGAGAGGAAGAAAAGGGGAGTATGTCAGAGGGGGAGACGAACCATGAGAGATGATGGACTCTGAAAAACAAACTGAGGGTTCTAGAGGGGAGGAGGGGAGGGGGATGGGTTATCCTGGTGATGGGTATTGAGGAGGGCACGTTCTGCATGGAGCACTGGGTGTTATGAACAAACAATGAATCATGGAACACTGCACCAAAAACTAATGATGTAATATATGGTGATTAACATAACAATAAAAAAAATTAAAAATAAAATAAAAAAAATAAAATGCGTGAATCTCATGGTAAAAAAAAAAAATGCTATCAATGAGATCCAATCCAATCTAGATAATCAAACAGCTAGGGTGAGGCAGAGGAATGAATAAGTGACCTGGAAGACAATATAATAGATAAAAAGGGAAAAGAGGAGGCCAGGGAAAAACAACTCAGAATCCATGAAAATAGAATCAGAGAAATAAGTGACACCATGACGTGTTCCAATGTCAGAATAATTGGAATCCCAGAGGGAGTGGAGAGAGAGAGAGAGGACTAGAAGATGTATTTGAGCAAATCGTAGCTGAGAACTTCCCTAATCTGGGGAATGAAACAAACATTCGCATCCCAGAGGCAGAGAGGACCCCTCCCAAGATCAGGGAAAACAGGTCAACACCCCGGCATGTAATAGTAAAACTGGCAAATCTTAGAACCAAGAAAACCATCTTAAGAGCAGTTAGGGGAAAGAGATTCCTTATGTACAGAGGAAGAAACATCAGAATAACATCAGGCCTATCCACAGAGACCTGGCAAGACAGAAAAAGGCCTGGCAAGACATATTCAGGGTACTACATGAGAAGAACATGCAGCCAAGAATACTTTATCCAGCAAGTCTGTCATTTAGAATAGATGGAGAGTTGCAGAGCTTCCAAGACCAGCAGAAACTGAAAGAATATGTGAACACTAAGCCGGCCCTGCAGAAATATTAATGGGGGTTCTATAAAAGGAGAAAGACCCCAAGAGTGATATACAATAGAAATTTACAGGGACAATCTATAAAAACAACGTCTTCACAGGCAACATGATGACAATTAATTCATATCTTTCAATAATCACTCTCAAGGTGAATAGCCTAAATGCTCCCATAAAACGGCACAGGGTTGCAGATTGGATAAAAAGACAGAATCCATCCATATGCGGCCTACAAGAGACTCATTTTGAACCTAAAGATACATCCAGACTGAAAGTGAAGGGATGGAGATCCATCTTCCATGCCAGTGGACCTCAAAAGAAAGCTGGGGTAGCAATTTTTATATCAGACAAATTAGATTTTAAACTAAAGTCTGTAATTAGAGACACAGAAGGACACTATATCATTCTTAAAGGGTCTATCCAACAAGAACATCTAACAATTGTAAATATCTACGCCCCCAACATGGGAGCAGCCATCTACATAAGCCAACTGTTAACCAAAATAAAGAATCATGTTGATAACAATACGTTTATTGTAGGAGACCTCAATACTCTACTCTCAGCAATGGAGAGATCATCTAAGCAGAAAATCAACAAGGAAACAAGAGCTTTGAATGATACACTGGACCAGATGGACCGCATAGATATTTACAGAACATTCCACCCTAAAACAACAGAATACTCATTCTTCTCGAGCGCACATGGAACTTTCTCCAGAATACCCACATATTGGGTCACAAATCAGGTCTCAACTGATACCAAAAGATTGAGATTATTTCCTGCATATTCTCAGACCACAATGCTTTATTTTTTTCTTTAAATTTTTTTATTATGTTAATCACCATACATTACATCATTAGTTTTTGATGTAGTGTTCCATGATTCATTGTGCATAACACCCAGTGCTCCACGCAGAATGTGCCCTCTTTAATACCCATCACCAGGCTAACCCATCCCCCCAGGCCCTCCCCTCTACAACTCTCAGTTTGTTTTTCAGAGTCCATCGTCTCTCACGGTTCATCATACCACAATGCCTTAAAACTGGAACTCAATCACAAGAAAAATTTGGCAGAAATTCAAACACTTGGAAGCTAAAGACCACTCCGCTCAAGAATGTTTGGGTCAACCAGAAAATCAAAGAAGAACTTAAACAATTCATGGAAATCAATGAGAACGAAAACACATCAGTCCAAAACCGATGGGATACTGCAAAGGCGGTCCTAAGGGGGAACTACATAGTCATCCAAGCCTCACTCAAAAAAACAAAAAAATCCCGAATTCACCAACTAACTAATTCTACACCTTAAAGAACTAGAGAAAAAGCAACAAACGATGCCTAAGCCATGCATTAGAAGAGAAATAATTAAAATTAGAGCAGAGATCAATGAATTAGAAACCAGAAACACAGTAGATCAGATCAACAAAACTAGAAGCTGGTGTTGTGAAAGAATTAATGAGATCGATAAACCACTGGCCGGACTTATCCAAAAGAAAAGAGAAAGGACCCAAATTAATAAAATTATGAATGAAAGGGGAGAGATCACGACTAACACCAAGGAAACAGAAACAATTATTAGAAATTATTATCAACAACTTTATGCCAATAAGCTGAGCAATCTGGATGAAATGGAGGCCTTCCTGGAAACCTATAAGCTGCCAAGACTGAAACAGGAAGAAATTGACAACCTGAATAGGCCAATAACCAGTAACGAGATTGAAGCAGTGATCAAAAACCTCCTAAAACACAGGAGTCCAGGGCCTGATGGATTCCCTGGGGAATTCTACCAAACATTCAAAGAAGAAATAATACCTATTCTACTGAAACTGTTTCAAAAAACAGAATCAGAAGGAAAACTTCCAAACTCATTCTATGAGGCCAGCATTACCTTAATCCCCAAACCAGGCAAAGACCCCATCAAAAAGGAGAATTTCAGACCTATATCCCTGATGAATATGGATTCCAAAATCCTCCACAAAATCCTAGCTAATAGGATACAACAATACATTAAAAGGATCATCCACCACGACCAAGTGGGATTTATCCCTGGGATGCAAAGTGGGTCAACATTCACAAATCAATCAATGTGATAGAACACATTAATAAGAGGAGGGAGAAGAACGATATGGTCCTCTCAATTGATGCAGAAAAAACATTTGACAAAATACAGCACGCTTTCCTGATTAAAACTCTTCAGAGTATAGGGATAGAGGGAACATTTCTTAAGTTCATAAAATCCATCTATGAAAAACCCACAGCGAATATCATCCTCAATGGGGAAAAGCTGAAAACCTTTCCCTTAAGATCAGAAACACGTCAAGGATGCCCACTCTCGCCACTATTGTTCAACATAGTACTAGAAGTCCTAGCAACAGCAATCAGACAACAAAAAGAAAGAAAATGTATTGAAATTGGCAAAGAAGAAGTCAAACTTTCTCTTTTTGCAGACGACTTTATGTGGAAAACCCAAAAGACTCCACCCCCAAATTACTAGAACTCATTCAGCAATTCAGTAATGTGGCAGGATACAAAATCAATGCACAGAAATCAGTTGCTTCCTTATACACTAACAATGCAACTGTAGAGAGAGAAATTAGAGAAATGATTCCATTTACAATAGCACCAAAAACCATAAGATACCTCGGAATAAACCTAACCAAAGAGGTAAAGGACCTATACTCTAGGAACTACAGAACACTCATGAAAGAAATTGAAGAAGACACAAAAAGATGGAAAAATATTCCATGATCTTGGATTGGAAGAATAAACATTGTTAAAATGTCTATGCTACCCATAGCAATCTATACCTTCAATGCCATCCCGACCAAAATTCCAATGACATTTTTCCAAGTGCTGGAACAAACAATCCTAAAATTTGTATGGAATCAGAAAAGACCCCGAATCGCCAAGGAAATGTTGAAAAAGAAAAACAAAGCTGGGGGCATCACGTTGCCAATTTTCAAGCTATGTTACAAAGCTGTGATCACCAAGACAGCATGATACTGGCACAAAAACAGACATATAGACCAATGGAACAGAATAGAGAACCCAGATATGGACCCACAACTCTATGGTGAAATAATCTTCGACAAAGCAGGAAAAAACATGCAATGGAAAAAAGATAGTCTCCTCAATAAATGGTGCTGGGAAAATGGACAGCCACATGCAGAAGGAATGAACTCTACCATTCTCTAACACCATACACAAAGATAAACTCAAAATGGATGAAAGACTTAGATGTGAGACAGGAATCCATCAAAATCCTAGAGGAAAACATAGGCAGTAATCTCTTTGACATAGGCCACAGCAACTTCTTTCAAGATACATCTCCAAAAGCTAGTGAAACAAAAGCAAAAATGAACTTTTGGGACTTCATCAAGATAAATAGCTTCTGCACAGCAAAGGAAACAGTGAACAAAACAAAGAGGTGACCCACAGAATGGGAGAAGATATTTGCAAATGACACTACAGATAAAGGACTGGTATCCAAGATCTATAAAGAACTTCTCAAACTCAACACCCAAAATACAAATAATCAAGTCAAAAAATGGGCAGAAGATATGAACAGACACTTCTCTGAGGAAGATATACAAATGGCTAACAGACACATGAAAAAATGTTCAACATCATTAGCCATCAGGGAAATTCAAATCAAAACCACATTGAGATACCACCTTATACCAGTTAGAATAGCAAAAATGGACAGGGCAAGAAACAACAAATGTGGAGAGGTTGTGGAAAAGGGGAACCCTCCTACACTTTGGTGGGAATGCAAGTTGGTACAGCCACTTTGGAAAACAGTGTGAAGGTTCCTCAAAAATTTAAAAATAGAGCTACCCTATGACCCAGAAATGGCACTTCTGGGTATTTACTCCAAAGACACAGATGTAGTGAAAAGAACGGCCATAAGCACCCCAATGTTCATAGCAGCAATGTTCACAATAGCCAAACTGTGGAAAGAGCCGAGATGCCCTTCAACGGATGAATGGATAAAGAAGATGTGATCCATATATACAATGGAATATAACTCAGCCATCAGAAAGGATGAATACCCAACTTTTACATCAACATGGATGGGATTGGGGAGATTATGCTAAGTAAAATAAGTCAAGCAGAGAAAGTCAATTAGCATATGGTTTCACTTATTTGTGGAACATAAGGAACAGCATGGAGGACATTAGGAGAAGGAAGGGAAAAATGAAGGGGGGGAATCGGAGGGAGAGATGAACCATGAGAGACTACGGACTCTGAGAAACAAACAGGGTTTTAGAGGGAAGGGGGGGTGGGCGGATGGGTTAGCCCGGTGATGGGTATTAAGGAGGGCATGTACTGCATGGAGCACTGGGTGTTATATGAAAACAATGGATCGTGGATCACTACTTCAAAAACTAATGATGTATTGTATGGTGACTAACACAACATAATAAAATTTTTTTAAAAAGAAGTTTTTTTATCTAGTTTTATCAATGTGAAATAAGCTACTTACCCTTCAAATTTTCCCTGGGACTCAAGGCCATTTTATCAAGGTATCAATGCATGATGGCTCCATGAAATGAGCATCCCTTGGGGCAGAGCAGGGGCTCCCGTATGACAATGTCAGTACCTTGATCTCAGTCCGGTCGATGGCTGTGAGGAAGAGCAAGTGCGCCAGGAAGAGGCAGATTGAGAGCTGCAGGTGGAGCGAGGTGCTGGTGTTCTGGATGGCTTTGCAGAGCCGGAAGGTGAGGGCTGCCAGGAGGAGGCACAGCAGAGAGAGGCCCAGCCCCACATAGGTGATCACAGCCAGCACGGGATCCTCCTCCTGGGACCCGCAAAAACAAGCAAGAACACATCACAATCACATTTTCTTGTTCTGGGGTAATGACTCTTCCATCATTTTTTTTTTCTTCATTTTTTGACATAGCAACATCAAGAATAGGGGAACCAGGTAAATTTGTTATGTTATTCAGGAAATTCCTCCAGGTTCAGAATGCTAAAATTCTATGGGATTCTGACCTTATTAATTCAAGTTCCATAAAAATTGAGGGACAGGAGAGTCTTTACTCAAGAGAAACTCCTGGAGCTCACAAGGGTTTATTTTATTTTACAGATCACCTAAGTCTTTGATATGGTGATCCAGAGGAAGTAACCAGCTCACCTGGCCAGCAGAACAGGCAAACATAGTTCCTATCCCACCTGCACTCAATGGCTTTCCTAGTCCCCTTTGACCTCTACCACCACCAAATCTTCCTTTCTACAGCCCCTAGAGCCACTTTCTACAGCCTTCCTGTCATGAAGATCCCAGTGATAAGCAGAATTCTAATTTGGCAATGAATGATAAAAGGTGTACACACGCTTCTTCAAGATTTTCAGTTAAATGCCAATTTGTGCTGCTGTGAAGGGATTTTGCAGATGGAATTCAGGTCCTATATCAGTTGACTTTAAGAGAGGGATTTTGTCCTGGTAGGCCTGGCCTGATCAGTGAGTTCTCAAAAGCCCTGAACACTTCCTGGAGAAAAAGATTCAAAAATTGAGCATTTGAGGTGAGGGGACTTCTACTGTCCTCTGCATAGAAATTCTGATACACTGGAATAGAATAGAGAACAAAGAAATGCACCCTCAACTCTATGGTCAACTAATCTTAAAACTGGACCATTCTCTCACACCATACACAAAAAACTCAAAATGGATTAAAGACATAAATGTGAGACAGGAATCCATCAAAATCCTAGAGAACACAGGTAGCAACCTCTTTGACCTTGGCCACACTGACTTCTTGCTAGACACATCTCCAAAGGCAAGAGAAACAAAACCAAAAATGAGCTACTGGGACTTCATCAAGATAAAAAGCTTTTGCACAACAATGAAAACAGTCAACAAAACTAAAAGGCAACCTACGGAATGGGAGAAGGTATTTCCAAATGAGATATCAGATAAAGGACTAGTATCCAAAATCTATAAAGAACTTATCAAACTCAACACCCAAAAATCCAGTCTAGAAATGGGCAGAAGACATGAACAAACATTTCTCCAAAGAAGACATACAAATGGCCAACAGACACATGAAAAATGCTCAACATCACTTGGAATCAGGAAAACAGAAATCAAAACCACAATGAGATACTACCTCACACCAGTAAGAATGGCTAAAATTAACAACTCAGGAAACAACAGATGTTGGTGAGGATGCGGAGGTATGGGAACCCTCTTACACTGTTAATGGGAATGCAAACTGGTGCAGCCTCTCTGGAAGACTGTATTGAATGTCCTCAAAAAAGTTAAAAATAGAGGTACCCTATGTCCCATCAATTGCAGATCTAGGTATTTATCCAAAGGATAGAAACATAGTGATCTGAAAGGGCACATGCATGCCCAATGTTTAGGCAGTAATGTCCACAGTAGCCAAAATATGGAAAGAGCCAAGATGTTTGTTGACCGATGAATGGATAAAGGAGATGAGGTATACACACGTACACACACATACAAACACACACACACATACACACACACGTACACACAAACACAATGGAATATTACTCAGCCATCAAAAAATGAAATCTTGGGCGCCTGGGTGGCTCAGTTGGTTAAGTGTCTGCCTTTAGCTCAGGTCATGATCTCAGGGTCCTGGGATCGAGTCCTGCATCAGAGTCCCTGTTCAGTGGGGAGCCTGATTCTCCTTCTGCCCTTCCCCTCTGCTCGTGATTTCTCTCTCTCTCTCTCTCTCTCTCTCTCAAAATAAATAAATAAAATATTTTAAAAAAATAAAATCTTACCATTTGCAATACTGTGGATGGAACAGAGGAAATTATGCTAAGCAAAATAAATCAGAGAGATACAATTATCACATCATTTCACTCATATGTGGAAGAAGAAACAAAACAGGATCATAGGGGAAGGGAAGGAAAAATAGAGTAAGTTGAAATCAGAGAGGGAGACAAACTGTAAGAGCACTTGACTATTGGAAACAAACTGAGGGTTGCTGGAGGGGAGGTGGGTGGGGGGATGTGGTAACAGGATGGTGGGCATTAAGGAGGGCACGTGATGGAATGAACACTGGGTGTTATATGCAACTGATGAACCACTGACCTCTACCTCTGAAACTAATAATACACTACATGTTAATTAATTGAATAAAAATAATATAAAATTTCTTAAAAGATGTGGTATATATATTACACAGCCCTCAAAAAGAATGAAATCTTCTCATTTGCAACAAAATGGATGGAACTAGAGGGTATTATGCAAAGTGAAATAAGTCAGCCAAAAAAAGACAAATACACATGGAGCACTGGGTGTTATACACAAACAATGAATCATGGAACACCACATCAAAAACTAATGATGTAATGTATGGTGATTAACATAACAATAAAAAATTTTTTAAAAAGACAAATACCATATGATTTCATTCATATGTGGAATTTAAGAAACAAAACAGATGAACATAGGGGAATGGAAGGAAAAAAATAAGATGAAAATAGAGAGGGAAGTAAACCATAAGATACTCTTAACTATAGGAAACAAACCAAGGTTGCTGGAGGGGAGGTGGGTAGGGGAATGGGGTAATTGGGTGATGGGCATTAGGGAGGGCATTTCATGTAATGAGCACTGAGTGTTGTATGCAACTGATGAATCACTAAACTCTACCCCTGAAACTAATATACAATATATGTTAACTAAATTCAATATAAATAAAAATTTTAAAAAGAAATAGGAATGCTGATACCTGTGTGAGGGCCTGTGAAAGAAGGAATGTAGGTAGCTCCTGGAGCTGAGCATGGTCCCCTGCTCTCAGCTAGCTAGACAGTGGAACCTTACTTCTACAACTGCAAGGAACTGAATCCTGCCAACAACCAGGGAGCTCACAGGAAGAACCTGAGCCACAGAGGAGAATGCAGATCTGGCTGACTTCAGGCTTATAAGACCCAGAACAGCAAGTCAGCCCCATCATGCCTGAGCAAAGAAACCACAAGATATAAATTTCTGTTTTTTTTAAAGCCTCTACATGTGAAGAAATATGTTACAGAGCAATAGGCATGGAACGCAAACCCTCTCAGGGCTCTCACCTGCACGTCACAGTGAGCCAAGAGAACAGCAAAGCTGCTGAGGTGGGTGCACTGGCAGGTGGTGCTGATGTCTCCAGTGGCCACCATCCTGCAGCCTGTGGTGGACCAATGACCATATCCATCCGGAGTGTGATCCCAGAAGGCACAGAACACCTTTTGCATTGGCCCAGGGGTCATCGACTGTAGGAAGAGAGTGTAGGTGGGAGACGGTGGCCATGGTGCTCAGAAATGTTTATCCAAAGCTGGCTTCCAAAGGGCTTTCTTTGGAATGATGCACCCAGGAGGGAGCCCCCAAGAACCTCAAGACTGAGCTAGGCAGCAAGGCTGTGCCCAGGACCCAGGCCCCTTCCACATCCACAGCACTATCTCAATAGCACTCACGTGGTGGGAGAAGATGAAGGTGATGGGAGAGCTGAGGTTCTGGGTTTCCCAGTTGCTCATAAAGGCAGAGATGACATCTGAGACCAGGACAGAGGAGACTCCTTGCAGCACGCCCTTGTGTGCCCCATGCAGAACTGCCTGCTTCTCAGACTCCAACACCAGGCGGGCCTCAGCCAACAACTTGCCCATCCCTGGAGTGGAGATGAGACCCACCACAGAAGGACCTGCAGGATGAGGCCAATGTTGATACCTTGGGGTGCCCAACACCCCTTCTTCCTCAGATGGACTCTGTGGTCCCACTAACCACTCCTTCCCTTTAATCTTCAGTTCCCTGTTTGTCGCATCCTTGGGCATCTTGTGACCTTCCCCCCATCTCAGCCAGTACCTGAGTCACCAGATTCGTGCACCACATCCCAGTTCAGCAGCATCTTCACCTGATTTAAACTCAAAGTGACATTTCTGTGTCCTTGCTCCTGTACCACCAGGGACAGGTCTATGAGTGAGAGGAGTTATATAAGGGAGTTAGGTTAGTAATTCTGCCTGTAGTGGTTGCTATAACACCATTATTTTTGTATGTGTGGTGGTAGGCACAGGCACACACACACACACACACACACACACACACACACACACACACACTGAATTACAAAGGATTATAAGAAAATACGATGAGCAATTGTACACCAACAAACTGGATAAGCTAGATGAAAGTGACAAATACCAGGAGACACACAAACAACAAAAGTAACTGAAGAATAAATAAAGTTGAACAGACCTATCAAAGGCAAAGACAATGAATCAGATAAAAATTCCCCAAAATGAAAAGCCCAGACCAGATGGCTTTACTGGTGAATTCTCCCAACCATTCAAGTAAGTATTAAAAAGAATCCTTTGTAAATACTTCCAAAAGTAGAAAAGGAAGGAATACTACCTAAATAATCTTATGAAGCCACCATCGCAACGATAACAAAACCAGATAAAGCCATTATGAGAAAATTATAGACCAATATTTTTATGAACATAAATGTAAAAATATGAACAAAATGTTAGAAATAAATTAACCCAAGGAGGTTCAAGACTTGTACATGGAAAGCTACAAAAAAATGTTGGAATAAATGAAAGACCCTAAGTAAATGGGAAAACATTCTATATTCATGGTTTAAAGGCTTAATATTACTAAAATGGCAATATTTCCCCAAAGATGTCTACAGATTCAATAGAATCCATATCAATATTGCAACATTTTTTAGAAACGGAAAAGTTCATCCTAAAGTTCACAGGCCATTGCAAGGGACCCAAATACCCAAAACAGTCTTGAAAATGAGAAAACAAAATTGGACTACCTACTACACCTCCTGATTTCAAAACTGACTACTAACCAACAGTAATCAGAACAGCAGGGTACTGGCATAAGGATAGACATACAGACAAGTAAAATAAAATTGAATGCCCAGGAATAAACCCATACATCTGTGACCAATTGATATTCAATAAGGGATGCCAAGAGGTGGAGCAAGATGGTGGAGGAGTAGGAGTCCTAGATTTCGTCTGGTCTCAGGAATTCAGCTGAATAGGGATCAAACCATTCTGAACACCTACGAACTCAACAGGAGATCAAAGAGGAGAGTAGCAACAACTCTCTGAACAGAAAAGCAACCACTTTCTGGAAGGTAGGACGTGCGGAGAAGTGAATCCGAGGTGATATTCGGGAGGATAGACGGCGGGGGAGGGGCCTCCGTCAGCCGCTTCTGGCAAGTGCTAGAGCCGCGGAGCACAAAATTGTAACATTAAGAAGTCGGCTCCACTGAGGGACATCGCTCCAGTGGCTGAACGGGGGGTGGAACCCTCGCAGGACAGTGTGGTCTCAGGACCCTCGGGGTCACAGAAAGACCGGGGGAGCCTGAGTGCAGCAGAGCTCCCAGGGATATGAGCGGGGAAGCCGGCTGCTGAGACGGAGCTGAGGCGCGGGCTCTCAGCTTGGGGTTGCCATAAACTGTGATCCGCAGCCCAGTCGGGCCACTGCTACTCCAGCAGGGACCCAACAAGCGGCAGAGCCGGGGAGACTCCCCTTCCTCCCCCGGGAGGAGCAGCGTGGGAGCGCACTGCAGGGATCTGCTGGGTTTGGAGACTCCACACGGGGTCAGGTGCCAGAGATAGAGACGCTCGGTCACAGGCCGGGTGAGCGCGGATTGCGGCCCGAGACCAGGGAGACGGGAGTGACTGACTGCTTTTCTCTGGGGGCGCACTGAGGAGCGGAGCCCCGAGTTCTTGCCTCCTCTGGGCGGAGATTGGGAGTCCGCCATTTTCACTGTCGTTCTCCAAAGCTGTACCGAGAGCTTGCAGGGAACAAAAGCTCCTGAGAGCAAACCCGAGCAGCTTGCTTAGCCCGGACCAACAAAGGCGGGGCAATTCCGCTTCCGGCAAAGACATTTGGGAACCACGGCAACAGGCCCCTCCCCCAGAAGATCAGCACAAACAGCCAGCAAGCCAAGACCAAGTTTACCGATCAAGGAGAATGGGAGAACTCCAGCGCTAGGGGAATACTGCACATAGATTCATGGCTTTTTTTTTTTACCATGATTCATTAGTTTTTCAAAGTTAATTTTTTTAACTTTTTTTTTAATTTCTCTTTTTCCCTTTTTCAACCAACATCTTATCAATCCCTTTCGTTTTAAAAAAAACATTTTTTATTTTTCATTCTTAGAGTCATATTTTATCCCTTCATAGTAGTTACCCTTATTTTTGGCATATATATATAAGTTTTTCTCTCTTTAAAATTTTGAGATACAGTTTCTTCTAACAGATCAAAATATACCCTAAATCACTAGTGTATGGCTTTGTTCTAGTCTCCTGCCTGATCACATTCTCTCCCTTTTTTTTTTTAAATCTTCTTCTTTCTATTTTCAAACAATTTCTTATTGTATCAATTCCTTTTATAAAATCGTTTATAATTTTCATCTTTACAGTCATCTTCCATCCCTTCATTGTATCAACCCTTATTTTGTACATATATGTCTTTCTTCCTTTAAAATTTTAGGAGACACTTTTTTTTAACAGACCAAAATATGCCCAAAATCTAGTGTGTGGCACTGATCTATACACTAGCCTGATCATATTTGATCATATTCGGGTTTTTTTTGTATTGTTCTGTTTTTGTTTTTAATCTTTTTCTTTTTGGTTTTTCTTTCTTTCTTTATTTTCTCTTTCTTTTCTCTTTCTTTCCCTTTCTTTTCCCCTGGTTTCAGGTCTTTTCTGATTTGTATACAGTATATTTGCTGGGGATGTTATTAAACTGTTAGCATTTTGTTCTCTCATTCATATATTCTCCTCTGGACAAAATGACAAGACGAAAAAAATCACCTCAGCAAAAAGAACAAGAGATAGTACCGTCAGCCAGGGACCTACTCAATACGGACATTAGTACGATGTTGGACCCAGAGTTCAGAATCATGACTTTAAAGATACTAGCTGGGCTTGAAAAAAGCGTGGAAGTTATTAGAGAAACCTTTCTGGAGAAAGAAAAGAACTAAAATCTAACCAAGTCGAAATCAAAAAGGCTATTAATGAGGTGCAATGAAAAATGGGGGCACTAACTGCTAGGATAAATGAGGCAGAAGAGAGAATCAGCGATATTGAAGACCAAATGATGGAAAATAAAGAGGCTGAGAAAAAGAAAGAGAAACAACTACAGGATCACGAGGGCAGAATTTGGGAGATAAGCGATACGATAAGACGAAACAACATTAGAATAATTGGGATCCCAGAAGAAGAAGAAAGAGAGAGAGGGGCAGAAGGTATACTGGAGCAAATAATAGCAGAGAACTTCCCTAATGTGAGGAAGGAAACAGGCATCAAAATCCAGGAGGCACAGAAAACCCCTCTCAAAATCAATAAAAATAGGTCAACACCCCGACATCTAATAGTAAAACTTACGAGTCTCACAGACAAAGAGAAAATCCTGAAAACAGCTCGGGAGAAGAGATATGTAACCTACAATGGTAGAAATATTAGATTGGCAACAGACCTATCCACAGAGACCTGGCAGGCCAGAAAGGACTGGCATGAGATCTTCAGAGAACTAAACGAGAAAAATATGCAGCCAAGAATACTATATCCAGCTAGGCTGTCAATGAAAATAGAAGGAGAGATAAAAAGCTTCCAGGACAAACAAAAACTAAAGGAATTTGCAAACACGAAACCAACCCTCCAAGAAATATTGAAAGGGGTCGTCTAAGCAAAGAGAGAGCCTAAAAGCAGCATAGATCAGAAAGGAACAGAGACAATATACAGTAACAGTAACCTTACAGGTAATACAATGGCACTAAATTCATACTTTTCAATAGTTACCCTGAATGTAAATGGGCTAAATTCCCCAATCAAAAGACACAGGCTATCAGATTGGATTAAAAAACAAGACCCATCCATATGCTGTCTGCAAGAGACTCATTTTAGACCCAAGAGAGCCCCAGATTGAAAGTGAGGGGGTGGAAAACCATTTACCATGCTAATGGACGCCAAAAGATAGCAGGGGTGGCAATCCTTCTATCAGACAAATTAGATTTTAAACCAGAGACTGTAATAAGAGATGAGGAAGGACACTATATCCTACTTAAAGGGTCTATCCAACAAGAAGATCTAACAATTGTAAATATCTATTCCCCGAACATGGGAGCAGCCAATTATATAAGGCAATTAATAACAAAAGTGAAGAAACACATTGACAGCAATACAATAATAGTAGGTGACTTTAACACCCCCCTGACTGAAATGGGCAGATCATCTAAGCAAAAGATCAACAAGGAAATAAAGACTTTAAATGACACACTGGACCAAATGGACCTCACAGACATGTTCAGAACATTCCATCCCAAAGCAACAGAATACACATTCTTCTCTAGTGCCCATGGAACATGCTCCAGAATTGATCACATCCTAGGTCACAAATCAGGTCTCAACCGACACCAAAAGATTGGGATTATTCCTTGCATATTTTCAGACCATCAATGCTTTGAAACTAGATCTCAATCACAAGAAGAAAGTTGGAAAGAACTCAAATACATGGAGGCTAAAGAGCATCCTACTAAGGAATGAATGGGTCAATCGGGAAATTAAAGAAGAATTAAAAAAATTCATGGAAACCAATGAAAATGAAAACACAAATGTTCAAAATCTTTGGGATACAGCAAAGGCAGTCCTGAGAGGAAAGTATATAGCAATACAAGCCTTTCTCAAGAAACAAGAAAGTCTCAAATACACAACCTAACCCTACACCTAAAGGAGCTGGAGAAAGAACAGCAAATAAAGCCTAAACCCAGCAGGAGAAGAGAAATAATAAAGATCAGAGCAGAAATCAATGAAATAGAAACCAAAAGAACAGTAAAACAGATCAACGAAATTAGGAGCTTAATTCTTTGAAAGAATTAACAAGATTGACCTGGCCAGACTTATCAAAAAGAAAAGAGAAATGACCCAAATCAACAAAATCATGAGAAAGAGGAGAGATCACAACCAACACCAAAGAAATACAAACAATTATAAGAACATATTATGAGCAACTCTATGCCAGCAAATTAGATAACCTGGAAGAAATGGGTGCATTCCTAGAGATGTATCAGCTACCAAAATTGAACCAGGAAGAAATAGAAAACCTGAACAGACCTATAACCACTAAGGAAATTGAAGCAATCATCAAAAATCTCCCAAGAAACAAAAGCCCGGGGCCAAATGGCTTCCCAGGGGAATTCTATCAGACATTTAAAGAAGAATTAATACCTATTCTTCTGAAACTGGTCCAAAAAATAGAAATGGAAGGAAAACTCTGAAACTCGTTTTATGAGGCCACCATTACCTTGATCTCAAAACCAGACAAAGACCCCATCAAAAAGAAGAACTACAGACCAATATCCTTGATGAACATGGATGCAAAAATTCTCACCAAAATACTAGCCAATAGGGTCCAACAGTACATTAAAAGGATTATTCACCATGACCAAGTGGGATTTACCCCTGGGCTGCAAGGCTGGTTCAACATCCGCAAATCAATCACGTGATATAATACATTAACAAAAGAAAGAACAAGAATCCTATGATCCTCTCAATAGATACAGAAAAAGCATTTGACAAAGTAAAGCATCCTTTCTGGATCAAAACTCTTCAGAGTACAGGGATAGAGGGTACATACCTCAATATCATAAAAGCCATCTATGGAAAACATACAGCCAATATCATTCTAAAGGGGAAAAGCTGAGAGCTTTTCCCCTAAGGTCAGGAACACGGCAGGGATGTCCACTATCACCACTGCTTTTCAACATAGTATTAGAAGTCCTAGCCACAGCAATCAGACAACAAAAAGAAATCAAAGGCATCCAAATCGGCAAAGAGGAAGTCAAACTCTCACTCTTTGCAGATGATATGATACTGTATGTGGAAATCCCAAAAGACTCCACCCCGAAACTGCTAAAACTCATACAGGAATTCTGTAAAGTAGCAGGATATAAAATCAATGTCCAGAAATCAGTGGCATTCCTATACACCACCACCAAGACAGAAGAGAGAGAAATCAAGGAGTCCATCCTATTTACAACTGCACCCAAAACAATAAGATATCTAGGAATAAATTTAACCAAAGAGGCAAAGGATCTGAACTCAGAAAACTATAAAATACTCATGAAAGAAATTGAAGAAGACACAAAGAAATGGAAAAACGTTCCATGCTCATGGATTGGAAGAACAAACATTGTGAAGATGTCAGTGCTACCTAGAGCAATCTACACATTCAATGCAATCCCCATCAAAATACCATCCACTTTTTTCAAAGAAATGGAACAAATAATCCTAAAATTTGTATGGAACCAGAAGAGACCCCGAATAGGCAGAGGAATATTGAAAAAGAAAAGCAAAGCTGGCGGCATCACAATTCCAGACTTCCAGCTCTATTACAAAGCTGTCATCATCAAGACAGTATGGTACTGGTATGAAAACAGACACAAAATTCAATGGAACAGAATCGAGAGCCCAGAAATGGACCCCAACTCTGGTCAACTCATCTTTGACAAAGCAGGAAAGAATGTCCAATGGAAAAAAGACAGTCTCTTCAACAAATGGTGTTGGGAAAATTGGACAGCCACATGCAGAAGAATGAAACTGGACCATTTCCTTACACCACACACAAAAATAGACTCCAAATGGTTGAAAGACCTAAACGTGAGACAGGAGTCCATCAAAATCCTAAAGGAGAACACCGGTAGCAACCTCTTCAATCTCAGCCACAGCAACTTCTTCCTATAAACATCGCCAAAAACAAGGGAAGCAAGGGCAAAAATGAACTATTGGGATTTCATCATGATAAAAAGCTTTTGCACAGCAAAAGAAACAATCCACAAAACCAAAAGACAACCAACAGAATGGGAGAAGATATTTGCAAATGACATATCAGATAAAGGGCTGGTATCCAAAATCTATAAAGAACTTATCAAACTCAACACCCAAAGAACAAATAATCCAATCAAGAAATGGGCAGAAGACATGAACAGACATTTCCCAAAGAAAACATCCAAATGGCCAACAGACACATGAAAAAGTGCTCAACATCCCTCGGCATCAGGGAAAGCCAAATCAAAACCTCCATGAGATACCACCTCACACCAGTCAGAATGGCTAAAATTAACAAGTCAGGAAACGACAGATGCTGGCGGGGAAGTGGAGAAAGGGGAACTCTCCTACACTGTTGGTGGGAGTGCAAGCTGGTGCAGCCACTCTGGAAAACATTATGGAGGTTCCTCAAACAGTTGAAAATATAGCTACCATACAATCCAGCAATTGCACTACTGGGTATTTACCACAAAGATACAAATGTAGGGATCCGAAGGGGTACGTGCACCCCAATGTTTATAGCAGCAATGTTCACAATAGCCAAACTATGGAAAGAGCCAAGATGTCCATCGACAGATGCTGGATGAAGAAGAAGTGGTATATATACACAATGGAATATTATGCAGCCATCAAAAGGAATGAGATCTTGCCATTTGCAACAACGTGGATGGAACTGGAGGGTGTTATGCTGAGTGAAATAAGTCAATCAGAGAAAGACATGTATCATATGCCCTCACTGATATGAGGAATTCTTAATCTCAGGAAACAAACTGAGTGTTGCTGAGTGGTGGGGGGTGGGAGGGATGGGGTGGCTGGGTGATAGACATTGGGAAGGGTATGTGCTATGGTGAGCGCTGTGAATTGTGCAAGACTGTTGAATCACAGATCTATACTTCTGAAACAAATAATGCAACATATGTTAAGAAAAAAGAAAAAGAAGAAGATAGCAGGAGGGGAAGAATGAAGGGGAGTAAGTCGGAGGGGGAGACGAACCATGAGAGACGATGGATTCTGAAAAACAAACTGAGGGTTCTAGAGGGAAGGGGGGTGGGGGGATGGGTTAGCCTGGTGATGGGTATTAAGGAGGGCACGTTCTGCGTGGAGCACTGGGTGTTATGTAGAAACAATGAATCATGGAACACTACATGAAGAACTAATGATGTAATATATGGTGATTAACCTAACAATAAAAAATTTAAAAAAAATAAGGGATGCCAAGACCATTCAGTGGAAAAAGAAAAGTCTATTCATCAAATGGTGTTAGCACACCTAGATCTCCCCTTGCAGTAGAAGTAAGCTGGAACCCTATCTCACACAACAAACAATAATTACTAAAATGGGTCAAAGATCTACATTTATGATCTAAAACTAGAAAAATTAGGAGGAAAAACAGGTGTAAATCTTCATGGCCTTAGATTTGGCAATGGATTCTTACAAAAGACACCAAATGCACATGTAACAAAGAAAAAATAGAGAAAAAGGATTTCATCAAAACAGAAGCATCTGTTTACTAGAGTGAAAAGACCATGGAGAAAGGTTAAAGACAATCTATGGAATGGGAGAAAAAATGAGCAAATCATATGTTTCATACAGTCTACTGTAGAATTAATAAAGAACTCTTACAGTTCAACAACCAAAAGTCAAACAATGAATTAAAAAATAGACAAAGGACTTGAATAGATGTTTATATATATATATACGTATATATATATGTATATATATATGTATGTATATATATATATATATACAAATATTCAACAACCACATGAAAAGATGTTAAATATCATTAGTCATTTGGGAAATGCAAACCAAAACGACAGAGACATTGCCTGACATACACTAAAAAAGGCTATAAGAAAACAAAATGTAAGTACCAAGTGTTGCTGAGAATATATCTATGGAACCCTTGTGTTGCTGGTGAGGATGTAAAATGGTGCCACCATTTTAGAAAAAGAGCCTGGTGGTTCCTCAAAAAGTTGAACATAGAGTCACCTCATCACCCAGAAATTCCACTCCTATGTATGTATGCAAAAAGCTGAGAACAGTTATTCAAACAAAAACTTGTCCACCAATATTCATAGTAACACTATTCAAAATAGTCAAAAGGTGGCAACAACCCAAAGGTCCATCAGTGGATAAATAGATACACAAAAGGTACTATATCCACAATAATGGAATATTATTCAACCATAAAAAGGAAAGGAATACTACCACGTGTTACAACAGGGATTCCCCTTGAAAACATCATGCCGTGTGAAAGAAGCCAGACTATAAGGTCCTTATTGCATGATTCTATTGATATGAAATGTTTAGAATAGGCAAATCCACAGACTCAGAAAACAGACTGCTGGCTGCAGGATCTGGGGGTGGGAGAGATGGGAAGGAACTGTTAGTGGGTACACTATTTACTTTTGGGGTGATGAATATATTTTAGAAATGGAGGTGATGGTTGTACAACTCTGGGAGTGTACTAAGTGCTACTGAATTGTACATTTTGTTTAAAATGATAAATTTTATTTTACTTGAATTTTACTCAACAAAACAAATCATACTTAAATATCAAATAATATTAAATTTACATTCTTCAAAATTAAACAACCTTTTAAAGATGTTTCTATTTTGTTATCTTAAATTCTTCATTATAATTATTTCATCTGTTGATAACTTATATTACAATGAAAATGTGTATAATTTACAGTTTTATTCATTTAACCTCTTAATTGGTTAAATGAAGCATCTGGAAATATGGAGATATAAGCATGGTCACACACTCCAGTGAGGCTGGGGCACAAATGTGGCGGGAACAGGCAGAGCAAAGCCTGGGGCAGACCCCTGTACTTACCTGTGCCTGCAGATTCATTGAAGGTCAATGTCCCATTGGGCAGGGCCTGGCTCAGGTTTCTCAGGACATCCTCAAGGCCAACAAGCAGGTTAGTGGCCACACAGTGCTGCTCTGAGCGGGGCAGAGCCTCCAGGTCCCCTGGAGTCTCCAGCAGCTCATCCACCTCCTGTATGAGGTCCTGGGGGTTGGGGACACAGAGCCAGTGAGCATGAAGACCCTGCCCACTCAGCCCCAGACAACAGACCCTGGAGACTCATAGGTAGATGAAGGTGGTACTGGATCAGAGTCCTGGGGTCTTTGCCCCCGGAATCCGGAAGTCAACCCTGTTCACAAATGCCAAGAATGACATTACCCCAGTGTCCAGAAACAGCAAGAAGAAAAGTCATTTGTGGGTGCAGGAGGTGTCTAACAGTGAGTAGGAATGCCTGCATGTCTGCTCTTCCCACCCACCATGGAAGAGGCCTCAGAGAGGAAGCCAGTATGTTGGGGCTGCCTCCACCCAGGCCAAAGCTTGCCAGGCCTCTATGGGATGCCTCCACCTTGCATCTCCTGGGATGTGCCCTTACCTGGATGGTGTCCTGAGCCAAGGCTGGCTTGAAGTCTCTGCGCAGATCTTGGACTCTTTCAAAGAAACGGGAGAGTCTCTAGGATAGATATGTACAGATCAGAGAGCCCAAATTGTGAGTGGGGGAGTTTGGGGGAAATGGGTGGATCAGGTGGGCTGCACAGAGGGATTCCTACCTCCTGGTCCCTGCTGGGGCCACTCACCTGGCTCTTGATTCCAGGGGGTGGGGTCCAGGTGGGGAAGGACATCTCTGCAGGGGATAGAACACCATTCATTAGGTGCGAGAGTGTCTGTGTGTGTCAGGGGCGGGGTCTGGGGTCAGGTCAGACCAGGTACCTTCACAGGTGGTGTTGGGCTGCTTATTCTGGAATCCGGGTTTGGGCTCCCAGCCCCGGCGACAGTGGCACTTGTACGAGCCCACGGTGTTGATGCAGATGGTGGACTTGTGGCATGTAGGCTGCCCAGAACTGCACTCATCCACATCTGGGGACACAAAGATGGGAGTCAGGACCCCTTTCCCCTCTGTGCCTTCCCTCTTTTCCCTGTGTTAGTGTCTCCCCTTGGCTGGAGGTGATATCACCTGCTGACCCCACATCCTGGTGATGCGGGGGTCATGGGAAGTGTGTGGAGCCTGACATGTAGCACCTGAGCCCTGTACAGATGTGCAGGTTGTGACTATAGAAATGCCTTTGTCCCAGGTAGTAATTAGCTGCTGTCTGGAGTCTCCAAGGAGCCTGCTCCTCAGTACCCCAGCTCCTTCCCCAAGACCCCCAGATCTTTTCCCAACCAGCCTCAAAAGAATGAACGCCTGGCTCAACAGGGCACCCCAGGGGTCATTCTGTTTGGTTTGTGTGGGTGCCACTGAATATGTGATCAGATGTTCTGAGTGTGAGTCTCCAGAATGTGGTGTCTGGGCTCTGGACCCTCATAGACGGTGTTCTTGAGGTCATTGGGGGACCCAGGAGCTGGCTTCCAGCCAGGGCAGCAGTGGCACTCATAGCCCCGAGTGTTGTTGAGGCAGTGGGTGGAGTTGTGGCATGGGTTCTGCCCTGCCGTGCATTCATTCACATCTGAGGACAAAGCCAGAGGGTCAGGGTCCCCTCCATTCACTGCAGCCATCCTGCCTGCCCTTTCTCTCAGATTCCTTAGTACTTCACACCAAGGAAACACACACACACACACACACATACACACACACACCATGTACCAGCCACCTAGCCTGTCAAGATAAACTTTATGATAGCATTTTCTATTGTAAAAACTCCATAATCTCAGATTGTCCCTGCAAGGTGGACAGGGTAGAACCATGTATGTGTATCACCCAGACAAAGCTGAGACCCTTCCCATATCGTGCAGATTAGACTAGGTTTCAGGTTCAGGGAGAGGGGTAGGCTGTGAAGGGCCTCTAACCAGGGAGGATGTGACACTGATCTGCCTTCATGTTGACTCAGTGGATGGACTAATGGCATGGGTGCAGTTTGGGACAGCAGTGACCAGCAGGGTCAGCCCTGCCCTATACAGCCCAGATTCCCTGTCTCCTCACTGCTTGCTCTGAGCATACAAGGTCCTGAAAGTACTGCTGCATCTCCACTCTCAAGGCTCCTTATGGCAGCTTCCTTCAAGATGAACTCAGCAGGGACACTATCCTCCTTTTCAAGCAAAAACTATAGCAAAAGGAAACTGAGTCATGGGAGCTAGACTTCCCAATCAAGGCTCTTAGTCATTTCCTCCTCAGCTCAGGACTGAGCTTCCCCTTCTCAGATCTAGAAGTGACACTTCCTGCTTGTGACAGGTGAGGAAGGGCAAGTGTGGGGGTGCACAGAGAGGCAGGGGGCTCCAAAAGGGAACCCCAGGCTCAGAAGGCCCTGTTGCCTCCCTGCCCTGTGGTGGAATCTTCTGGAGAGGTGGGCACTGGCAGGTGTAGCTGCACTGGGTGTTGATGCAGATGCCATGGCTTTTACAGACTCTGGGTTTCAGCTGACATTCGTCCACAGCTGCAGGGGGAAGGAGAGGGTGATGGGTGCCTCCACTTGTTTCCCATGATAGGAGCATCTGGAAAGCCCCATTGTCTCTTCCCTGGTGAGTGGGTGCCTTTTCTAATTCACATTGAGGCATGCTATGGGCAAGCATGGTGGCTCAGATGTTCTGTTTCCAGATGTTGCCAGAAGTGGACCAAGTCCTCCCTGTCTGCCCTGTCTGGTTCCCTTGGTCTCTCTGGACAGCTCCCAGGTAGGGCAGGGACGTCATGGCCACCTGTGTTCCAGCCTGAGGACTTGGACAAGTCCAGGGTGGACCTTCCTGGGAACCAAGTGCAAGGGAAATACAGTGTTCCCCAAGCAGGACCATCTTGGCTCCCAGTGATGACTTTTGTCCTACTTTCCCAGAGCAACTGCTTGCTGCCTGAGTTGCCATTGGAATCCCTATGACCCTAGCAGGACAGCTTGTTCTCATCCACACTATCTCTGAGACTCCAGTTCCATGGAGATGGACCAAGACCCGTGCCTGAGCCAGGCTCCTCAAAGAGAAGGCTTTCATAGAGGAAGGGAGATGAAGATGATGCCAGACAGTCCTGGGCCACCCAGATAGTGGGCACCAAGCTGAGGAGGACAGTGGAGGCTGATGTTCAGCCAAGCATTCTTGGGGTGATGAAGGTGACTTTTTCTGATTCCCATGAAGGCATGCCTAGACTGGCAGGAAGTGGTGAGAATCCACATCTGAGCAAGGCAAGTGGTGAGCAAGGGCTGATTGGCTGGAATGAGGAATGGGTGCTGATGGCGAGGGGTGCGGGGGTTTTTGTGTTCTTGGCCATGTGACCTTGTGGGCCCTGACAATGGGCTCAGCCTCCATCTTCTGTCCCCAAGTGATCTAAGTTGACATGGGACCTGGGTTGACCCCCTTGGAAGAGTATCAGGCTTGAGGCAATGGTCTCCTATTTGCCCTTTCTTGCCATTTGGTCCAGATGAGGCCTTCTTCCATTCACCTGAATCTCCAAGTGTGTGGGGTGGTCTACATCACCCTTCCCACCCCCAACACAACCTCCCAGATCCTGGTCATCCAATTTGCCTCAGGTCAGTGAATTGAAATTATTAGGGAGAGTCAGGCAGAGCCTTACATGGGGAAATAGATGGAGGCCAAGCAGATGAGAAGCAAGTCAAGCTGGAGGAAGCGTCTTCTCTAGGTGGGGATGTTGGCCAGGGGCAGGGCCAGCTGGGAACGATGGGCCCACCCTTGAATGCCCCTCCTCCCATGTTTCTGGACAGGGTCCCTGGATTCCTCAAGGCCCATGGGTCTGAGAGAGCTCCCAGTGTGGCCAAGCCCATGTGGGCTCCAGTGGGGGAACCATTCATCATGACAGTCATTGATGATGGTGATTGTGTTGGATCCATTGACGATGGATATTGTGTTGGAATAAACATGCTCTCAGCTTTTGAGGTATATGATGCCATCTCTCTCTTTTGCTTTATGAAAATAAGATGCCAACTAGGTATTTGCCCAAACATACAAAAATACTGACTCAAAGGGATGCATGCACCCCGATGTGTATAGCAGCATTATCAACAATACCCAAACAATGGAAAGTACCCAAATGTCCATCAAGTGAAGAATGGATAAGGAAGAAGTGGTATATATATGTGTGTATATATATATATATATATATCCAATGGAGTTTAGTCAGTCATCAAAAAGAATGAAATCTTGCCATTTGCAATGATATGGATGGAGCTAGAGATTATTTGCTAAGTGAAATAAGCCAGTCAGAGAAAAACAAATACCATATGATTTCATTCATATTTAAGAAAAAAAAGATGAGCATAGAGGGGGGGAAAAAAGAGAGGCAAACCAGGAAACAGACTCTTAACTATAAAAACCAAAATGCTGGTTATCAGGGGGAAGTGAAGGGAGATGGGCTAAATAGGTGATGGGGATGAAGGTGGGCATATGTCCTGATGAGCACTCGGTGTTGTATAGAGGCGATGAATCACTGAATTCTACACCTGAACCTAATAGTACGCTGTATGTTACTTAACTGGAATTTAAATAAAAACTTAAAAAGAAAAAGAAAATAAATAAATAGATAAGAGAATATAAAAGAAGATGCCAGGCAGGCAAGGAGGACATTCCAAAATTACAGAAATGACCCTTTGGAGAGGGTTCTGAGCCTTGGAGTCTGGAAAGGGACAGGATACCAGGTAGGTGCCCTGGACCTTCTCTGATGCCTGGAGAAAGTGCAGTGAATGACCCCAAAACTCATGGATGGGGAGATGGAAGGTGCAGGTGGTTCTCACCTTGACACGTGTTCTCGCTTTCATCCCTGAACACTCTTGCCCCAGAAGCAAGCTCATATCCTGGGCTGCATGTGCAGTGGTAGCTCCCCTCTGTGTTCTGGCAATCGCCGAATTTTCCACAGGACACTAGTGAAGGTGGTGCACACTCATTGATGTCTGGAACACAACAGGGCAAAGGGTCACCTCCCAAAGATGTGAGTTCCCATAGGGCAGAGGTGCTGGCCTCCAGCCTAACTCAGCCAACAGGACTGGAGAGAACTCAGCTTGCAGGTGGCATTCCTGGGGCAGGTCTGAGCTGGAGCCAGCTGCTCTGAATGTCTGCTCACTGTTCTGCATCTCTGCTCTCTGGCTGGGACTAAGGGCACCTAGATTCAGACACTCTGCTATGCCATCACGGGGGCTAGAAGGAGGTCTGCATCCCCTTCCGCAGGCCTTGTGGGGTGGACAGAGGCACTGAATTTCTGGGGACCTGGGAGTGGGCTCCAGTCGGGGTGACCGTGGCACTGAATTCCACTCTCGATGCTGAGTCAGTGAAGGGAGTCATGGCTGGAGTCTGTCCAGAGTAACATTCTTTCACATCTGAGGATAAAGCCAGATGCTCAAGCCCCTGCCCATTGACAGGCTCCACCTCCCATTACTCACAGTGACCCAGGTTCACCCCACAGTCCTCATCACCCGCTCCCCGAAGCTGCCAATGTCTGGCATTTTCAAGAAGCTCCGGGGTATCTCTGGAGGAGTCTTGCTATCTCCAACCCTAGAGGAAGTTTCTTTTATCTGAACCATCACAGATATGAAATGAGGAAGCAGCATGTAGGTTCTCACAGTTGAGTCACTGGTGGCTGTTGGCGGGGGGGGTGGTTCTGGTCTCTTATCTCTCCCTGTTCTCAAAACATGAGAACAAAGAGTCCCATGAGCTAGGTTCATTGAGTATCTCAGGGACCCACAGAGCTGGGGGTCTGGGTCATTACTGCTAAAAATAACAGTTTAATAAGAACCAGCTAGACAAGAATGCATCAAAGCAGGGAAGAATGTTTTCTCCTGCACATTCCAATCAGGGCAACAGGACTTTTAGAGCCTGAAAGGACTCATGGCATCATGCTGAATCAGGGCAGGCAACTGGGTCCCCCAGAGCAGATTTTCCTACCTGAAATTGTGGACATCCCCTCTAAGGCCTCAGGCCCATGCTGTGGGTGTCAG